CCCTTACTTGTTCTATTATGTGATACCTGTGTGTAAATGGCTGGGGTAAAAGCATTACTCTTTCTACCCGTACAAATGAATATGTTAACGAATTGCAGTCTCCCTCCATCAAAGGTATTTCAAAGGTACCCCCTACCCATCGCCTATTTTTTTTAAATTCATCTTATATTTCGATTTGTCAATGGCAGCCAATTGCCATGATGGCTGAATTGCTCACACGTTGCTTTCTCGAAAGATAAAATATAAAAAATACAACAACCAAACAAACCAAAATGAAAGCACTTCATCGCCAACACGATTCTTTGCGCGCCGTGCTGAGTTCGTGAGAATGACCCTCTTCATGTTTGAAGCTTAATCGACAAATTCGAGTTGGATTTAAAGAATTTGAATTTGATGATATTTGGCTTTGACGTATTAAGCCCATCGCACACTATACGATCTGACTACAATCCGAGTTTCAAAGAATTTGAAATAATGATTTGATGTGTAAATTCGGATTGCTAATTTCTTAAGATAGATGAGTGAATAATGATACATGTTTAATCAATGAACTCCATATATTAATGGATTTCACGCTCCTTTGGAGAAGGAATAGCTAAATGGGCTCAGAATCGTAGCGACGTTATACCAGTAGTGCGATTGCCTACCATTTGAAGCCAATTCGGCTTTTTTTCTGACTAGAAAGCTTTTAATGCACTAAAATTCCGGGTTTCTTTTAGGGGGCAGTCTTATCAATATTCAAAACCTACATCAGGAAGATGATTGTTGTTTACATTTCTGTTTCTAACATAATGAAAGTTGAATCGCAGGAAGATCGTGTAGTTTGCGATTGACTTGCAGTCAGGAGTTAATTCATATTAAATTACATTTTGCATGCAAGCGCATTGCATGTCATTTTAGAAAGTGCTTTTTCTGATTGCGTTTGGTTAAAGTGTTATTACAAGTAAATGAATTATTAATTGGCTGAAAGTTAATCATGCACAGACACGTAACTGAAATCTCTAAATGCAAAGGTCATGCACGAGGCATTATAAAATGGCTCACTATTGAAGAACGCACTGCATTTCATCATGCGTATCCAGTGTACATGACATCTTTTAAATAGAAAGTTATTCATTTGCTAGACGACCGTGCACAAGCATACTATCTCACACAAAAAATAATTACGAATTCAAATTCTACCTTGGATCGGAGTCGAAGCCTCGTTACTAGGGCGCGTTCACATTACAGTTATAAGTTCACACATCGCGATTTCCCGACAAAAAACAATATCGCAATGTGTGGACGCAGCATATACGGCGTCTTTTGAATGACGCATGCAGGACTGCGCCAAAGACGTTGCGTCATTGGTACGCTATGTTAGAATTGTGTCCCATGAATAGTAAAGGTTGATATACTGGCATATGCTGGCCACTTGATTTTTTCTTCATCGTGAGGAGTGATTAGCGCATGTATTGACGCAACCAAACTGACATCTCATGTGCAATAGATATTACGGGTAAGATGCTTACGAGTTACCAACATTCGGAATAAAAAACCTTCGGATGAAGGAACATTTGGAATGCTCGGATAAGCAAGCCTTCTGAAAGACAATATGCACCCGTTGTCATGATAATAATTATGACTAATGATATTAATACTATTAATACTACTTTTATACTCATAACGATGATAATAATGATTATAATTATTATTATGATGATGAAAATTGTAGTAATAATAATAATATAAATAATCATGATAATAATTGTAATAATGATAATAATAATAATGAAACAAATAATGGGTTCTTCTTGTAGAGCGCTAATGTCTGTTGTATATCGCTAAATACTTCATTATTATTTCACTGGCTTCAACGTGGCTGATATCATCATGCTCACAGTCAGCTAACATACCCCCGTTCATTTACCTCGAAATAAAAGGAAGATATCACAACTATCACACCTGATATTTATATCTAGCGGATTAGTGGGTTTGGAAAGTTCATCAGCATAGCTTCCATCCGGGTACCGGATAAGGGGTATTATACCACAAATCCGATAAAATAGTGAAAGGAGTTTCATTGTGATAAGCAGGTCAGCTAGGTCAGTTGGGTTGACAGTGATAACTGTCATCCATGACATTTCGATAGGTTATTTTCTTATTGTAATCAAATATAATGAAGACGTCGTTTTGAAGTGCTTCGATCGTATACGAATCCTTTAATTCTCATTCAATCTAGAAGGTGTTTTTGCTTGGGGGCGGTAGCTTGGTAAATCTTGAGTTTGAAAAATCTTGAAGTAATTTTCTACAAATTCAGATTCAAATTATGATTGCTTATAACACCAAAGATGTAGGATCATTCTCGAATCAATTTGCAGTATCACAAAGATTAAAAAGTGCGAATTCCATAATGACTATACAGAAATTGCGCCTTTCTTATTTGCATGTATAATCAAGATTTTGCTTCTACTGGGGGGGGGGGGGCTCTTGCATCGCTTCTAATTCTAATAGTCAGGATACAAAGTGCTTAAATTATTTGTTATAAGGTAGGGCAGGGCATAATGCTTTTCCGACTGAGCAGCAGCTTATGTGTGCCATTTGCATTCTGACTTAGTATTGCAGATACAATAACATGTACAAGAATATAATAGCTAGTTGCTAGGTAAACTTGTGTAGATTTGAATACATTTTCATTGACTCGTTGAATATTTGATTCATTTTCTCAATGTGCCTCGCTTAAATTCATTCGCAATGTTTATTTTGTATTGGGGGGGGGGGGTCGAAGGTTTTTCGTGTGGCAGGATTGAGCTCCTAAGCCCCTCTAGAACCGCTATTAGAAAAATATGATTTACAGCTTAATACTGAAATAATAATAATTATTTATACATATTCTTCTTTTTGCTTTAAGGTTTGATTCTTCTTTTCAAACCACGTGACATCGTATGTTGGTATTGTGTAGACCGACAGGATCATTGATCAAAGACAGGAAATAGGTTGCTACCGATAGATATAAAACACAGTCAAAGGTTCAAATTAGATAACACATGAGAACATCATGGTGATTACAGGGTGGGTCTAGGCAGTGGCGTACGCAGGATTTTTTTCAAGGGGGGGGGGGGGGGGGTTTCCAAAAAAACATACATAAAACATACACATAAAAAAACTCGAGGGGGGGTTTAACCCCGAAACCACCCCCCCCCCCCCCCCCCCCCCCTGCGTACGAGCCTGGGTCTAGGATTTTGTAAATTCAACAAAAAGGGGTCGAATTCTCAACAAATTCAAACTAGCAAGTAAGCAAGCAAACAAACATGAACAATCGGGGAGTTCATTTAGAGGCTGTCAGTTTTTTTTTACGGGAAAAGGGAGGGAGGTGGAGGGGAGGGGGGGGGGGTGGGTGGTCGGATTTCGTTAACCCCTGGATCCGCCTGTGATTACCTCTTAGGGTAGTCATGAAATTTGAAGATTTTTCAAGTCAATGTGCGCTACTGAGTCACAGAAGTAACATTCATAAATTTAGATAAAAAGGGTGTCCATGAATTCATTCTCAATTCATTAATAATGAGGTCTATACAGTATTAAATAGATGTACTGTGAAGCATGAAAGAGGTTCACCGATGAAATAGGGAAACCGGCCTTAGCACCCTCCACCTCCTTCCCCATTATAACCCAATTTACATTCCCAGGAGCTTCTTATTAAGCCCCACTTTCAAATTTTAGACCCCAAAGGAATCTGAAAAAATATACCCCTTTGGTCGAATGTTTTTCGCTCCTGAAAAATTTCATGAGAGGTTTTCAACGGGGAGCACTCTATTTTTTAATGAAAAGTTCTTAATCTCTTAGTTAAAGGGACTTGGTAACATTGTTCAGATGAGAGAAAATGGTGCTAAGGTAGTGACTTCAATGTTATATGTACAATTAAAAATAATCTGAAAATTTGAGTAAAAACAGACCATAGTTAATGATACAAATCTGGAAAAACTGATCTGATCGATTCAATATTTCTCCCAACTATATCATTATATATCATTATGTATTATTTCATTGAAAAACGGTTGGGAAAATTCAAATATAGTTGGGAGATTTTACTGGTAGTGACGCCTTTAAAGAATACCATAAAAATCTTTGTGGTTTGAGAATGTTATCAGTTATCAGTCAGAGGGTTAGTACAGTAAAAGGAAAATAATAAATAAAATTTCATACAAAAATTACGCAGTTTTTTTCATCAACCTTCAACCATGTTACCGAGTTACTTTAAAGGTATAGACCAGTTCTGGTCATGCGATTACATTGTTAAAGAAACGTTGTGGAATCGATCAGAAAAGGTTGATCATCTAGTATATAAGTATTGGTGTGTACTGCAAGGTTTTGGAATCATCAAAATGATAAGAAATTTTGCCCAGTCTTGGTAAAGTTACAAGCACTGTACACAGAAATATGTATATGGGACTACGCGACACGTGCGCGATATCTATCAGGTCCAAATAGATATAATAATTTACCAAATTTATCGATTAGTAGGCGGTTTCCCGGCAAAATTTGTATCATCACCTATTAGTCAAAACATATTCTTTCACATAATTGGTAATCAGAGCTTCCATTTCCGAAACTGGTCTTTACCTTTAATCTTAAATCACATTTGGATATTTGTATTCTGGAAAATGGTAAATCATTCGGATATTATCATTTCAAAATGTGATGTACCGGGCACTTGGAATCGCCTTACTATATAGGCTGATTCTTCGTAAGTGGTTGCGATCGTCTTCCCAAAAGGACCCTGAAAAATATGACACTCTTTAGTCGGATATTTTCCGCTCCTGAAACGTGTCATCAAAAGATTTCAGCAATTTTTTTTGTTTGGATAACAATTTCTTAATGCCTTATTTTATTCATTTATTTATCATTATATTTGGTTGTTTGTTTGTTTGTTTTTCAGTCTCGCAAGTCCCTCAGAAACGGTTTAATCAATAATTTTATGTACTTTTTTGTGATTTGCTTCAATCTTTCACTCTTCTTTCCAGGTTACTTTGCAGACAAGGACAATTTGGGATTAGCTGAACCTGAACAAGATTATAATCATGGAAGAGGGTATGAATAAATTACCGGATGAGATTATTCCTCCAACTGAGGAATACTACCAAATGTCTACAGTTCACACCGTTATTTCCTTGAGAACGTTCAAATTCGACGACTACACCCAGCGCATCGTTCTCTCCGTTTTCTTCATCATCATAGCTACATTGGGAATCTTCGGCAACAGCCTGGTCGTCTTGGGCGTCATTCTGTGTCGGAAACTTCGAACGGTGACGAACATTTTCGTCGTCAACCTCGCCGTTGCCGATTTACTGACCGCCATGACGATTCCTTGGAACGCGGTGGCGCTGCTCAGCCGGGGCGGCTGGCCTTTACCGGAGTGGGTGTGCGTGGTTGTCGCGCTGGTGAGTTTTACTTGCGTGGGATGCAGTCTCTTCACATTGGCAACCATCGCTATCAACCGATGGCTTGTCATCACGCAGAGTTTGAATACTTTTCGTAGAGTTTACACCACGGTCAATCTAACCTTCATGATCCTGGCCATCTGGTCTGTTCCATTCCTGGTCGCGCTGCTGCCACCAATGATCGGGCTCGGAGAGCTTGGGTACGCCGACAAATACAGCACATGCTCACACAAGACCACGCACCCACTATCGGACTACTACAGCGTTCTGCAAACCCTGATCTTCTACCCAGTCCCACTCGTAATAATTATTGTTTGCTACGTGAAAGTGTACCTCCACGTCAGACGTCACATGAAGGCAATGACCGAGCAAGCAGAGGGATCCTCTTCGTCAATGCATGCCAGCTTGAAACGACAATCCAGCCAGCAACAACTTCGTTTGAGCAAACGACAGGTCGAGATTACCAAGAACTTATTTTACGTAGTCCTCGCCTTCTTGATCTGCATAACACCTCATGGAGTAGCGCTCATGATCCCGCCCAGCGACCCGGCTATACCGTGGACGGCGGCCATCTTGCTTTGTAATAGCTGCATAAACCCTATAATCTACGCGACGAAGCATCCAAACTTCAAACTTGTCTTTAGATATATGCTGAGCTGTAAATGCAACAAAATTCCAGAGCAGTCAGAATTTCTTCGATCTGTGCGCTATTTGAATGCTCGCCGACAATCACGTTAACGGAAGCCTTTTGACTGGAGTCCTTAGCACGCGATGCGTCTTATGCCTAACGTAGGACTACGTCAACGACCGGTGTGATCTTTGACGCGCTTTGTGAGAGAAACATCGTTCAAGGAGGTGTTGCAAAATGAAAACTGTTACAATTTTTAAAAAGTACTGTCCTGTGGGCAATTTGCCTTCAGAGGCTGAATTCAACGTAATGGAAATGAAGTCTCGTTTCAATGGGCGTTAACAGTTACAAAAGTGGAGTTATGTTATATTATAGGAACAATGACGAGAAAACAGAAGATATATAGTTCTTCTGAAACCCATGATCGTAAAAGGGGGAATATTTGCCATATTTTGTCTATTAAGATATTAAAACAGATCAAATCTTGTTATCGCATGCATTGAAATCATGGATGCATAATGACAGTCACAAGTCACATCATGTGACTTGATAAGATGTATTAGATTGAAGATATAGTTTTCAGATGGTTCCATTGGTTCTATTAATATGTCGGTCGATTGACAAATATTGTGAAGTGTCCAGAAGCACCATGTTTAAAGCTGGTCGCCTGGAAATGTGATTATCTCCTGTATAGAAACTGATGATAAATGTGACTGTTTCACCAGGCCGCGTAACCTCGCCCATAATATTATGCAAATGGCATGAATGATTTTATTTGTGATTAAACATATATTTCCTGAAGCGAACATATAATCCACAAGCGTCATCTAGGGTAGATAGTAACGTATTCCGTGTCATTGACCGGTATTCATAAAGGCGTACTTTCATCAATTTCACAGACAGCAATTAAAAAGAACAACCATTACACCTGGTCAAAAGGCTATAGCTTTAGAGCTCATGATGTACTTCATCTTGTAGTCATGGTAACATTACGACAGAGGTTTAGTGCCATTACTCGTTTAGGCAATATATACAGGGAGTGAAGAACAATATTTTGTCAGCGAGAAAACAGATACCCTATTTCTGTTCGGCCATAACCACGAGGTATTTGCAGATACACGATGAAGATTAGATTAATAGTCTTCATTTCTTCTCAAAATTCTTATCCGGCACGCTTTTAGCCAGTTTACGTTACCCGTGCATGCATACTATAATGCGTAACCCCCGGCGCTTATGTCCATTTGTATGAATTAGCTCATCCTCACGTGACGCAAATGTATTTGAAAATTCAGTTGTACTTTTAAACTGGAAAAATATTTTGTATTTGCTTGTATTGTTTGGTCTTCCTTGGCTTGCCTAATGGATTAATAAAGATGTCGCCTAATGGATACTGCACTGTGTTAGCAGGATTGTTTTTGTTTCTTTGTGAGGTGGGTGTAAAACCCTACGATGCATTTTGCCTTAAATGGCAAACATCCGAAACTTCATAGGATGTCACTGACTTGAACTGTGTTAGATTTGCTAGCAAATCTATAGTCCTTTCCTACAAATTACGCTGGGGTTGTCGTTCCCTGAAGCGAGGTATCCCCCCCCCCCCACCCCCCCCCCCAAAAAAAAATAGAGGATGTCCATTGGACGAAAACACAAACACGTAAGGATGTGGAATTCCTCATTTAACACACTGAATTATACACATTTTACTACAATTTTGTTAAGCATTTCATTACTAATTATGTATATTTGATACATCTAAACCTATTATTACTTTTGGCGGTTAACCGCCCGGAAGACAAAAGAAATCGTGTTTCACTTTTTGTTTATAATTATTAATATTATAAAGGTCCTATACGCGTATTTTCCGAGCTCTGTGTTATAAGTTATCTTTTAACATGTAAAGGGTACTACACATACGCCACTATAAAAATAATCAGCTGCGGCTTAACAATATTATTCATGTCTTGACGAGCCTATAACAACATTGCAGCGCGTTGAAATACATGAAGGACAGCGGGTCGTTCAGTTAGGTGTCTTGATTTGTTTAATCAGCGATATTGAAATGATGGTATCTCACATAATCTAATGGTGTTATGGCCCTATATCACAATCCATATGCAATATTGCACCAATCATCTCGAAAGCGGGGTAATGATTATCGTTTAAAATTATTTATAAAAAAAATAAAAAATTGAAGAAACCATTAAAACATTATAGTCGTTACAAAATAGTAGCACAAATAGTGGATCTAGTTTTACGTTATCGTTGTCTTTCAAATTTGCAAAATCAATTTGTTTATGGGTTGTTCTAGGACAGGCACTGTTTTTTTTCTTCAACTTGTGAAAATAAAATTACAGGACAACGATGGCTACTAAATAACACTGCTGGTGCTTCGGTCAATCCACCCTGTCCAATGAAGGAGAGAGAGAGAGAGAGAGAGAGAGAGAGAGAGTGAGAGAAGGAAGAAACGGATATAATTATAGACATGATGATAGACAAAAGGAATGAAAGCTTGAAGAGGGAGAAAGAGAGAGAGAGATACGGAAAGATAGAGAGGGCTGGGAGAGACAGACAGACAGACAGAAAGAGAGAGAGAGAGAGAGAGAAAGAGGAGTAGGCAATGTGTAAGTATAGGTACGATACAGTACAGATATATGTCATACAGGAAAGGCATATCCGACTCATTGTGATATACCACAAGGCCTCAGGGCTATAATTTTTATGCTGTCAGTTTATGTCCTCTTCCAAATCGTGGTAAATTCCATAATAATATAATAATATAATATAATTATTATATATAATTGTTTTTTAAAACAGGGAAGCCTCGTCAGCCTAGATACTTTTCTTTCTGACGACCCTGCTATTAATTATTATCCCATCGATCGCCATGTACACCTGGCTTGAGAGTGGCAAATGTCGGATGCAGCAATAATGATAAATCAAAATCGATTTTAGCAACTGTCCACCCAAAAAAGAATAATTGCTTGACATACACGTTTCGCTGCATCTTTTGCCAAATGACGTAAGTGCCGGGCAAAGGTTTTCGTATTGTGTAGATTGTTAAGCCACTTCTCAGTCAAATTTCCCTTTTCAGACCAATCTGAAACCTTGTGCCTGTGCGTTAGGCCATCGTAGCCTTCTTCAAGGAGATGTGAGTTGGTCTAGCGGCACATTCACTTGGTCAGCTCTCTGTCTTCGCCTACAAACTGGCTCAGGCGATCCCGGTTGGAAACTGAGTCACGCCTTTCGGATGGTGACGTTAAAGCCCGTTAAAGGTCGGTCCCCAGACGTAAATAATCATATCTGTTTATCAATTCAATTCATTTTGTTTTCCATTAAAATTCAAAGTAAACAATACATAACAAATGAACAGCAAAATCGGAAGGACCCCAGGATAATCAAAGCTTGTGAGAATAGGCCCTGTACAAAAATAGACAAACAAGCAAATCATAATAACAAATATTGTTAAACTTATCAAAACAAACATACACCCATGCACCCTCATTCTTTCACATGCACACGGATACAGAAAACGTCTGTAATAACCCAATTACACGCACACACAGGTTAGTTTTCAGTCACAAACCCTTGTTACTCATAAAGCATAAAGGTAAGTCTGAGCTAGAATACTATACATAGACTGTGGTACGTCCTGTACTGTAACTGCTCCTGACACAGCCAGAGATAGACAGAGTTGGGCTCAACTCGAGACTTTATGCAATTGTGTTCAAGTGTCCAATTAGAGTTTTTGTGCCTGCAGACTAGTTTCAGGTAGTTGCGTCTGTTACCTGTTGATTGCGTCTGGAGCTTTTATGTGCATTTATGGTTGAGTATCCTTGAATCGCGCATTGAAGTAACACCTAGTGTGCACATGGCTTTAAACGCCAATTTGTTACATTGGACGCAAGTCAATGTCCGTTGCACGCGGTGCGTCATTTCAATTGCGCTATCCTAATCAATGCGCTAGTAATTAAAGATAAAGACCAGTTTGGGTCATGTGAAAGAAACGTTGAGGAATCGATCAGAAAAGGTTGATCATCTAGCATATAAGTATTGGTGTGTATACTGCAAGGTTCTGGAATCATCAAAATGATAAGAAATTTGGCCCAGTCTTGGTAAAGTTACAAGCACTGTACACAGAAAGGTGTATATGGGACTACGCGACACGTGCGCGATATCTTTCCGGTCCGGATGATAATTTACCAAACATATCAATTAGTAGGCGGTTTCTCGGCAAAATTTGTATCATCACGTATTAGTCAAAACATATTCTTTCACTGATTGGTTCCATTTCATTTTTTGAGAGGGGGGCGTTTCCAAAACTGGTCTATACCTTTTAAGCACAGTGGTTTCACTGTTATGTTGTGATTTCACTGTTTGCACCAGTTCGTACGATATCAGTCTCACATGACACGTCAAAAGTCGATGACGCAATCTTGCGTCAGTTAGTAAATGACGCTTCGTGTGCAACAGGCATCAGATAAAAGGATGTGCAAGTTTAATTCATGACTATGCCTGTACAGATAGTTTAATTGAAACAGGGAGATGCACTTCGGCAATCTTCAGCAGTCGTACACCAAATCATAACTATAAGCTTTAATGTCATTAAGCAATACCTGAGGATTATTCAATTTCAAAGCGCTCATTTTGAACGATATCTTTTAAAAATATTATGTTGTGATCACATAAATGCTTGAAACTCCGATAAAGTGAGTAAGTCACAGAGGGTGGATTTAACTATGATCAAAAATCAATATAAAACCATGATGACAGCTTGCCAGTGAATTTGGAAAATATTATATAAATTCTATCACTAATTATTTCATAAACATACCCTCGATTATTTAGGAGCGCTAAAAACAAAAGCAAGTACCATAGCGCTTACACAATCATAGAATCAACTAACAAGTCCCTGGTAATACATAGACTCACAAAAAGGTACATCACATTATATTACTAAGGGGAGAAGTATTATTCTAGGGATATTTTTCTGTCACTTTCTTTTCCATTGTTACCATTAATGCATGAATAATGCTGTCATGTCGCAAAGAGGAAGAAAGAGGTGGAAGTATGGAGCCATACGAGATTTCAGGACTGGTAATCTATGTCTCGAGTAAGCACAGTGTAGGTGACAGCGGAGGTCGTGCAGTGGTTATCACGACTCATCCAATGTCCATGAATATACTCCCACATACACGTAATGCTCTCAATTCAATTATAATTATAGCACAAAACTTTAGTGTATTCTCTGTGGTTAACAGACAGAGGTCAATCTTTATTTACTTAAAATTGTAAAAGTACGCTCCCTGATAAAACAATGTGTTACTTTTGATTAAATACGTGAAACAAACCACAACCAACCATGAGGTTTGTCTCTATGTCAGATCATAAAAGAGTGGAGGCAAATAACTCAGCTCAAGTTGGGGCTTTGGATGACCGACATTTACCCACAATATCTCCATACTTCGCTAGATCCATTGACAGTTATAACCAATGAATGTATTGTCTGATAATAATACTTTAAAACAAGGACATTTCTTTTTTGTTTCCGTTTTGAGTCAAATCTAGCTACCCACGAAGGAGCAGGGCGGAAGTCAGTGACTAGCTAGGGCTACTGAGTTTATTTCCGAACTAAGGTATTTCCCACGACACAAATAAATAAAGAGAAGATAACTTTGATAGGTTGAACATCGTGGTATTTAAATGACTTCCGAGAGCAGAGTTTAAGGCTGTTTAATCTAAAAGTCAAGTGCATTTAATGCAATTAATATATATACAAATTGCTCGATATTCGCTCTTGATCTGAAACATCATAATGAAGCATCCACCAATGTTTAGAGGAGGTGTATGAAGAGGAGACCCCCCCCCCCCCCTCTCCCCTAAGTCAGTGGAAACAAGCTTTCGTAACCGACATTAAATACTTGGGGGCGGGGGCGCTCGACCTTATAATCATGGCTTATTCGAAATGTCGCAGTATTGTTCACCATGTGCAAAGACATTTAAGTCTCATTTTTTTCACCACATAAAACTTAGACACGTTTGGTAAAATGAGAACACACTTTCAAACCTGCCGTAAAATATCCCCAAACAGCAGTTTCATTCTTTGTTTCAAGAAATTTTTAAACATTTGCTATTTGTTTTCTTGATTATCTTTCAGAGTATAGTTGAAGAAACCAAAAGGTCTGTAACCTCTTCAAACCGACGTGGTCAGGGGCGACGCTTCCTGTGAGGGGGCGGCTGGAAAGGTGCTCCCAGATTTCCGAGGACCCCAAAAGTACCCTTTTTACTCTGAAAAGTACCCATTGTCCTTCTTAATAAGTGCCCCTTTCCCTTATAAGAAATGCTTCTTTCATCTCTCATGAGTGCACTTTTTAGGTATAGTAAATACCCCCTT